TAATTCTAATGGGGCAACACCAAGAATGGTTGCCACAGGTAAAAATTTCAGGAGTTTTTGCCAACGAATTTAAAGTAAAAAATTGGCATTTACTCCATACGATACGTTTCGGAATTTTCACTGAGTATTTGCTCGTAGTATTCGCTTGCCGAATTAAGCAAATTAAAGCAATTGAATCGTTGCGATTCTAAGCATTGTAGAGTCAAAAAGTAGCATTATCTAAAATACTTGAGGAATTTAAAGTAAATTGGCTGTGTTGATAAACATTTATTCAATCTTTGCATTTCGTAAAGTTGTCATACTTGTATATCACCATTTTAATTGTGATTTCATACGTCAATGTGCGCAGGTGAAGCCAAAGACATTTTGCAAAAGGCTGAAAAAAATCAACCAAAGGAAAGGAACTAGCATCAATTTGTTGCAGCTGGGCGCGAAGTTAAATTTAAGCGTTATCAATGAATTTTCAGTCATCACAACTTATCCGTAGGACATATTACCTTCAGCTTCTATAAGTATGTAATTATCTATCATTGTCCTATAATTAAATGTCCATTGTTATTTTTTTATGGCTGTAGAATAAAGCAGTTCCTGTCATCATAGAATTTATTGGAATAAGGACGTTTCTTTGGTTGTTTTAGAAAATAATTTATTTGTATTTCAAAAAATATAACATGAGAATCGCATTTTTCAAGAAGTTCCACACATAACAAAGTAAATTATGGCGTTACAAAATACATATGGTAGATATACATAGCAATGTTTTTTTTCTCGTGTGTCAATTTCACCAATGGGCATCCAAATGCTTGGTAACTTCACTCACAATATACTTGTGACTGGCATGTAAATCCACCGATCGATCTAAATCCAGCCATTTAACATTTGCAGCATCATCTCCTGCCTCGAGCAGAACGTTTTTGAATATTTCACCAGAATAATCATGGAAATTATATGCCGTCGTTTCAATCCAAGCGTTATCTGTGTTTCTTGAATCGTCCACGTAACCAGTGTAGATTTTCGTTCTATTTTGACTGAAAAATGCATCTACTTCTGGCACTGCATATGAAATGGTTTGATTATTGAATTCAATTAAAATGTTTGAGTTATTTACAAATTCAAAACTTGAGAAAAATCAATAAGAACTAAAAATTTAAAATAGAAATACCTTTTTTGGAATTCAATGCTTCTTCAACAAATTCTCTCTTCACAGCATCGATGGCTTTTTCGTTCTTATCGACGAAACCGCCTGGAAAAGCCCACACTGAACTGTCTCGATGCTGAATCGCCACCAATTGCAAGATGTTCCTTTAAAATTTAGCTTCAATCAATGGATTTTGTTAATGCAATAGCCAATTGGGTTTGAATTAAATTACATTTTTGTCGATGTGTCTTTCACGATTGTTCCATTATCATTTCGTTTCCACCTAGTAACAATACAATCGGCTGCATGTGATACACCCCAACGCCCTAGCAATCCTCTTCCGATAATTCCAGTCCGGCCAGCCACATTCAATGGGTATTTGTTACGAATTTCATATTCACCATGGAACGAAGTGCGATCAACATCTCCATCAATCGAATTCCATTTTGGGTGGAAGTTTATAGCATCTGATTTACAATGTTCGTACGATATGCAATAAATTCCATTATTAAATCAACATTTCATAATAAAAACTGGGCATTGAAAATTACATAGTACGAAGTACTCACCGATAGCTGGATCAGCATAAGGTTTGCCATGAATTTTCGGTGACTCATAGAATATTGGCGTGTATTCAGGGTATTCAACACTCCAGCGAACGAAACGATCTGGCACAGTGAATCGATTGATATTACTCTTTGGATAAACACTATTTCGGCATGATTGATGGATAAATGGCACGGAATTCATATTGGTACAACTAGCAAATTGACAAAGAATAGCAAGTAATATTAAGTTAATTTTCATCACTTCACCAATTTAAAGCAATTCTTTTTATTTACACGTCTTTAATCAACTGATTTCTTTCAACGACTAATCACGAATTTCTATTTCTCGCACATTCAGCGAGGTTATCACAAATCGAGTTCCCACTCAAGCTATCACAACTCGTATGTTTGGCGAATAAAGGTCAAATGATTGAAAGCAAACAAAATCACAAGTGTCGTCGGTAGTTGGTTCTTAGATAATTTTTCAAGAGACAAAATCGTATTATTACACTCGATGCAACTCAGAGTGTAAACAACGCAAATGTTCGAAAAAAAATCACTTTTATTTCGATTAGGTGCATGTATGATATTAGGTGATATACAATACTCAAAAAAATTCCATTTCATCAATGGCATGCCGATGCAACTGTTTAATCGTCAAATATTTATGTTCAACATTTGAACCCATCCGACGGCACAAAATTCAGTCAAACGATTTCTACTCTCTATTGTTTGTTATCATTCGATGGTTATTGTTATTGGAAATAAATGAAAAGCCGTAATTCATGACAATATTCATTTGTGCAAAATCATGATAAAAATCTGTTATGTTTTCCTATTTATTGTTAATGAATAGACACAATGAAATGGTCGGCGGTGTTCAATTCAATTCAAATGTATATTGAACGAACAATGGTTGAACTTTGTGTCAATTCGAATGTTATTATTTAGTAATTATTTTGTCGAACAAGTGTGCGCACACATTTGAGCGTCAAATAATTGATGGATTTTGGTTCGTTGGTGTGGCAAAAAAAGCAGAAACCGGTTCACCAATGTGTTTGGTACTAATGTTGGCATCATTATTCATTTCCAGTGCTGCATACATCCAACTGTGTAATTGATTTTGGCCGAGAACTTTAAATAAATGCCACTAATAAAACGGGATATTTTCGAAGTTTTCACATGAAATATGGACATTCATTTACGCAAAACTCGATTGCGAATTTTATTATTATTAACTGAAAACTGTTTGGCTGAAAATTTAATGGAAAATGCTGTTGGAGCCGTGTAGCGGATGCTATCATAATTCAACCAGTCGTTTATTTTCTATGGATATCATAATTTCAGGTGTTGCTTGGTTATTGTTGCGAGATTAGTTTGGAGAATTCCCCAATTGAAATGTTAAAACAACGATGTGAAAGTGTCTGCTTTTGTTCATTCTAATCACACGCGCCATATCAAAGTTTTTGAATTTAAGCACACACACACGGTCATTCGACCGCTTTTCAGGTGTTATCGTTTCCGTATGGCAATTTGTCTGTTAAATGTGATCCAATTTGAACATTCAACCATCTCTTTTTCAACATTCTCTCTTTTACTCTCTCCCTCTCTCTTGCTCTTTCTCTCGCTCACCCAACTCGGCCCATCGAAAATTAGTTTCATGAAAAGGTGAAATTTTCGTTGTTCACAAAATGTTCCTGCGAAATATATCGCAAAGTGCAGGAGCGAACACATTTTATTGTATCATAAAGTTGAACATCAACCGCATGCACACACACGAGTGCGAGTTAATCAAATTTTCGTTTATTTCACCCGGATTTTTGGATCAGAAGGTGTTTTTGTGCAAACTATAACATGGATCCGCCAATGAAAATGGATTATCAGCTTACGAAGCGCTTGGGGAAGCGGCTTACCAGAGACAAGGAACAAATTTTAAAGGCTTTAAAACTGAAATCAATTTTATGGATCTCGGACGAACATACACGGAAACATAAATATAAACTCAATATTTCCACATGAAGAGAAAGCCGGACAAAAAAAAACTCCGATTCACTTCAAATCATTAAAATTCATGTATTTCAATGGGCTGACGAATGCAGTTTTTGCCATGTGCCATTTAACATTTTAATCAAGTGATGTCGTAAGTACAAGAAATATGTTGATGTGAAACATGCAAAATTTCGACTTGATTGATTTTGAAAATCGTTAGTTGGTCGCTTTCTCTCTCTTGTATCGTTGGCTTGTTGGCAAAAAGAAATGAATTAATTTGCGTCACATTAGCAAAAAAAATGTGCCCTGAATAAAATGTTCTTAATAGAGTCATTTCCATAAAGTTAGATATATATATTCCCTGTAACTGACAGCTACAAGCACTTTGCACTCCAAAAATCAATGAATACGATGAATTTTAATGGGTGCATCATGGAATATTCGAAACTTCACAACCAATCTGCTGTCGAGAGTAGTAACAGCAGCAGCAGCAGCAGCAGCAGCCATAGCTGTAAAAAAACGCACACGATATGAAGCTAAATGCAAAACGCTTTATCCAAACATGTCAGCTTTGGCGCAGAGTGTGCTTTGCAAAATAATGAAATAATTTCCATGCGTTTCGACTAATTGGATCGAGCACCACCGATCCATCAAACATTTAATAAATATGAACAAGCACCATAGAAAGCAATTAAATCAAAAGCCACCAACTTTTGGCATCCAATCAACTAAGAAATTTACTATATGTAAGCGTGTGAGTTGAGCGTGGATGGGGCGATGATTATGCGGATCTTATTGGAGCACATCAAATGTTTGGAAAATGAAATGTTGCTGAAGTGCAGCGATAAGAGCGTTCTCGTTGAACTTTAATATGTGCGAAAGCATATTTGTGACCAATCGATTGAAGTTCAAGCTGAAAATTACCAAAATGGATGATCTCTTAAAATCACATTCATGCAACAATAAAAGCAGGAACTCGTTCACACACACACACACACACACATACTTGCCATTATCAGCGTCATATACGTCGATGACGACTCACACCCGTCGAGTCGAGTGTGCATCGTACTCATATTAATTTGCTACTAAAACGTCATAATTATCGCACTCATATGGAAATCTATCACGTACACACGTTCTAATGCCAATCCACTCACATGTCGACGAGTGTGAACCATATGGAAGAAGTGCTTTCAAGCGATATACACCAATAACACACATTGAATTTATCATTGTGAGTGCAGTTACAATTGACCATGCTCTACTCGAAAGTATTCAAAATCGAACGAGATATTTATCATTGACATTTAGCCAAAAACCGATGCCAGTGCAAGCGCCTAGATAAGTGAAGCTTTTGAAAATGCATCACATAAATATTTTCATCTAATGATGACTTGATAGCCTTCCAGTCGGAATTCAAATAGCCGGCTCATTGTATTGATTGTGCGTACGCCCTTAAACCATGATTTACTTTATGAATTCGAATGGGTCGACCGCTCTGAGCATTAATAACAACCAGATTCCATAAGCTATCATCATTTCAAACTTGACCAATCGACCAAATTCGAAATCCATTCGGTTTCTGAAATTATCATAGGGAAATTTCTCTTCACATTTATCAATTGAAATGCGGTTGCTTTCTTTGCAAGTGGTTCTGAATAGGTTGCTCCCATTGAAGCGAATGTAAAAAAAATCGTCCACTTCAAACCCTTCGAACATAACAACGAACGAAACTTTCATAAAATAATTTGTACATTGTATGCATTGACTTGAACAACAATTCCGGCATCGCATAAAACATTTCGCTTAAATTCACATAAAAGTCATAACAATGAATACGGCGAAAACGACAGTCGAAATGACATCAGACATGTCTTGAGGCGTTTTTCCGCTTAAAACATCCGTAACACACATATTATATGAAACGAGAAAACTTAAATAATTTCATTGGCATGTGAACCGCCAAAACTTTATCGTTTTCTCCACTCAAAATGTATGTCAAGCGCATTTCCTATCCCTTTTTTGCTTCGCTCTCGTTTTATTACCGCAAATAATAAGTTTAAACACACACACACACACACACAAACACAAGAGAGAGAACAAAAACTCTACAATTTCAACTTGTTGATGTAACACAACATTTAATTCGGGATAAATTTTTTGAATATGTGCATTAGATTGGAAAATGTGTTTATCAAGTGTCTGGTCTTTTTTTGGTGCGGAGAACGAATTAAGAGATCCAGTTTTCGGGCGTGCCATCAGTACTTTGAATTCGAAGTGACGAATAAGTTTTTGTGGAAGTTTAAAACTTATGATATGTCTATCATTTTCCTTAAGGCCACGGAATGCGTGTATCGTAGAATATTTCTGTCTTTTTTAATCTGAGATATTTTTTTGAAATGAAAATGACAGTTTTTATCTTTGAAAATGTGCAAATGCCGAAATATTGTCATAGTTGACATCATATAAACATTGAAAGACAAGTTGAAAGTATCTTGTGCGTGTCTCATTTCAAGTTCAACTCATAATGCATCTCCATACGCCTCACACATGTTTCAATGACAATAAAATTTATATTTCCCATTTGCATTTCCTCCGCTTGTTTGTTTGTTCAGGAACTTTTCAATTACATTAAACTCAATGTTTTCTTCTGATTAAATATTCACTTTTGTCATGCTCTCTCTCTCTCTCTCTTGTTTGACTTGATGTGTTTTAGTGTGCAAATATTTGGTCGGAGTTTTTGTTGTGCGGCATCTCTTACTTTCGACCATGAAAAGATGGATTTATTGTCTAAAATATGATGGAGAAGTCGTATACAACTTCGTTATAACGAACATTTCGTTTATTAAACTATTTCAATTAGAATCCCATTGTGCATGATTCGGTGTACAATTTTATGATAATTCTGAGCGAGAGACATACAGGGAGAGGAGAAGAGATTGAAATGTAAACTTTCTTCAGCCAAAACGAATGGTTTATTCCTTCCGCTTAATTCACGACATATTCATTTTGTAATTAGATAAACAACAACATACTCAGCAGTCGACATACAGGTAAAACTTTTTTTCGGGCATTTATCTGCTATGTTTGTGTTTCATAACTTTGTTAAGTGAAAATTGATTACTTTTCAAACTCCATGCATAAGCCTTCAATTATGGAACTGGTTAAGCAAATTTTAGGAAATGGATTTCGTTGAGAGAGAGAGAGAGAGAGAGAGAGAGAGATTTCACAAAATTCAACAGGAAACATATATCATTGAAAACAGCCAGGTTGAGCAGAAAAAAAAGTTGAATCTGCAAATGAAACCATTCCATCATGAA